CTCCCACTGCGTACTTTAATGATCGGAGAGTATTCAAAATTTTATTTGAAATTTATCAAATCTTTTAAACAACTCTTCGGGAATATAGACATCTCATGACCACCATTATCGCTCTTTTTAGCATTAATGGGAGTTAGTTTGCTATCAAACGAATTGTTTGAGTTAGTGCAGAAGCTTAACATATTGATCATCTCATTATTTTCCTTTCTAGTTACATGTGCTACCAATTTTTGTTGCTGGTATTGGAATTGTTCGAGTGATGTGGTTTTTGTTATTTGCTAAAACTATTGGTGTTTGGTTTTGTAACGCCTGAACTATTTCTTTGCTTGAATCCATTTTTTAATCATTGATTTGAGAAAATATTTTTTTATAGATTATAGTTTAGACATTTCTGAATGAGTTGGATGCCATACATGACATCCCCATGAGAGTAAGACTAACATAAACAAAAGATATGTAAACTCGTAATAAGGAAATAATTACTTTGAACTTTTTGTCATAAAGTTGGCGCTATGCAAAGAATGTTCAACGCTAAATCTATTGGGCCTTAATTTTTTTTTTAAAACAAATCATGGAAATTCTTTCTTTTCTAAGGGACTATAAAATGTTAGTTCCCGGGTGGTGTTCCTTTTAATCCCAACTCCTTGATGAATGATCACTGATAACTTCGTATAATAGTTCCCAACTAAATCAATAATGACAACGAAAAGAGAATTAATGACTGATCAGATGGTGAACACACAACAGAGAAGCAATATTGTTCACGCCCTTCTGAACTGGACATCTGGAATTCTTTCCAATTATCCAATAGACTCATGGAACCTTGCAGCCGGTGTTATACCAGCTGCCAACGCAATAAAAAAAATACCGTTTCTATCTCTTGCGTCTTTCACCGGCTTTCAATAAAAACGGTTTGCGAACAAGATGCTATTGCTTGCGGCCAAGCCATGCTGAAAGCACTCACTCTCGTTAGATCATCAGCGTTAAGAAGCATCGAGTTTGATCAGTTTTTAAATGAGTGACCGGTATAGTATGGCCTCGTGCCAGACATAGTAAATTTTAGTAAATAACGTGAAAAACCTGTTTCTCGTCTTATCTCCGAAGCTAAGCAAACGTAAATCTAATCACTACATTGATGGGGTTACTGATTATAAAAATCATTTACTGTAAGCAGTTTGTGATCTTATGCCAGACGAAGTAAACGATAACATTAGTAAATCAATAATAATAACTTTCTCGTCTGATCACCGAAGTTAAGCAACAGTAAATATGATCAGTACTTAGATGGTGTTATTGATTATAAATAAAGTTAGTGAAAGCAGCTTGATGCCAAACGTAGTAAATTTTACTAAAATATGAAAGTCCTGATTCTGATCTCCCAAGTTAAGCAACGGCAAACCTAATCAGAATGTGGATGAGTTGCTGATTAGGAATATTAGGCACTGTAAATGACTTCTTTGATTGGTTGGTTGATTTTGTTTAGCATATCAACACCTCTATGGGTTTTTTAATACCGAAATCTAAATATTTTGAACACAGTTTTATGGCTTCACCTAAATATATTTTGAATGCAATTTTATGCCTAAAACTTCAGATAAAATGTATTATTGATCATCTTGCTATGAAATGTATTGTTGGTCATTTTGCTATGAAATGTATTGTTGGTCATTTTGCTATGAAATGTATTGTTGGTCATCTTGCTATGAAATGTATTGTTGGTCATTTTGCTATCAGATGTATTACTGATATTTTTACTATAAATTGTCTTATTGGTAATTCTACTGTAAAATGAATTGCTGGTTATTATGATTCAAAATAGTACTGCTGGTCATTTTACTATAAGTATGTATTGTTGGTTAATTTTTATTAAAAAATTATATTGTTATTATATTTACTATAACAGTGTATTTTTAGACTTTCATAGTGTTTTATTTTTTTTAGGGATTCACTATAGCTGGGGCCCTAACAGGTGCTACCAACCCAGAGCAAAGTGAACCTGGGAACAATAGTAATTAAGAGTCGGTTCCAACCTCAAAACCTCCAATCTCCCGATCACAGGCCTTGCTGCCGGATGTAGTTTATCGTCATACCCAGGACTAGGCTTCTTCAATATGTCGTTTTCCTTCAGGATGTAGATGATCATGACTCTCCACAACTTCCTGTACCATGTAGCTCTGAGTAATGTTTGTTTTTTTATCATCTCTCTCACCCTATGTTCTGCCATCCATTCCTACAAAATAGTCAGATAGATGACTTGCTGCCGTCACCTGTCTCGTTTTGCCTTCAATATGTTCTGTGAGTGTCAAATTCTCCAAGCACTCTTTCCTCTTTATGTAGTACAGGAATTTCAGCTATTTCTTCTTGATTTTGGGTATAATTGTCCATTTTCCCTGAGAGTCATTTGCTTAAGTGCTCCGTCTATAAATCCTCATTTCTGTTGCCTCTAGTCTTCTCTTCATATGTGAGTAGATTCTATAAGATTCTCTGCCATATAGGAGAATTTATATGACATAGCAGTTCAGTACTTTTTTGTTTCTAACGAAATTTTTCTTATTATTACTTTGCTTAGACACCTTTCTTATTCATCCCTCTGATTTTGAAAATATTTTAATGAGAATGAACTTCTAGCGACTCTGTGTTACACTTTAGAATCAAAAGCCATTGTCTGGGTCTAGTTCAGTTTTTAAATAATTTGTTTTAAAAATAAAATAATAAAGCAATATTAAAGTAAAAGTAAAATCCTCTTAAAAAACTAACATAAAGCCGTTTGAATGATTAAATAGCGAACTTAATAACTACTTGTATTGATTATGTGAACATTGTTCGAAAATAATTGTTCGAAAACAATTATTCGAAAAACATTTATTCGAACTGTAAATTGTTTGAATGAAAATTGATCGAAATGACAATTATATTTAATGATAATTATTCAAAATGCAATAGAAATTGCAATAAAAATGTAAAAATTAAAAGCGGAAATACACAAATGATAATTATTCGGAATACAAATATTGATAAAACAATTTAGTAAGAAAAAATGCTTATAACCTTAAGTTATATGATACTACACGCAAATAGTCAACTACTGAAGAGTACTTGTTAAAGGACGCCACTCAGTTTTTTAAGTTTTCCATTTACATCACCGTATTTCTTGACGCTCTTGATATTTAGGCAATCTGTTCTTACTTTTGCAATATGAATTTCTTGTAAGTACTGTTCTCTTTTTAAGGGCGTCTAAGAATTGCCATATTGTGGAATGATGGAATGACACTTGCTGCAAAAATGTCTTCCATCAAGGGCTTTATTAGTTCTAGATAAATCAGCATTGGCTCTCTCGAAGCAAGACCACATACGTATTTCAAACAAAGGTATTTCGAATAATTATCATTTTAGTATAAATGTCCTTTCGATTAATTTTCATTCAAACAATTTAAAGTTCGAATAAATGTATTTTTAAATAATTGTTTTCGAGCAATTATTTTGGAATTTTCTCCATACGACTTTTATCTACTTGTATGTGCCGCGTTTCACTTCAGGACGTAGGTGGTTATTGCTCTCCACAACTTCGTCTCCTTTGTAGCTTTAAGCAACCTTTCACCCTTAATTGTGGCTTATGCAAGGAGATGTAATGAGTTTTATAGAAAATGGTTTTCAAAAACAAATTCGTAAATATATATATTCTATATATATACATATATATATATATATATATATATATATATATATATATATATATATATATATATATATATATATATATATATATATATATATATATATATATATATATATATATATATATATATATATATATATATATATATATATATATATATATATATATATATATATATATATATATATATATATATATATATATATATATATATATATATATATTATATTCTATATATGTATATTCTAGTATTTTCTAGCGATGGAATAGTGCGCTGGGCATAAGTATATTCATACCTTTTAGAACGATATTAATGTCATGTTAATATGTGGAATGTTACCCTGAATTCGAATTTGGTTTGTCTATTACGTTATCTGCAATGACATATCCCACGCATGTGCGTGTACGCACACTGAGGAAACTAAACACAGCATACGTTCTCCGGCGAAATGTTTCGTTAATAAATTTTCCACTTTGTTTTATCACCTTCACTTTTATTTCGGATACTATGATATGTACGTGTGTGTGTGTGTGTGTGTGTGTGTGTGTGTGTCTGTGTGTGTGTGTTGATATAATAGGAAAGAACTGTTACATTGATGATCCGAAGTTTCATTGTGACACAGAAATTACTGTTTCGAAACTGGTCAGCAGTATTCAGGTTTAATTTCCATATTAACCTTAACTACCAGGTGGCAGTCTCATCCTCAGGCGATGTTTAGAATAACAATATATATATATATATATATATATATATATATATATATATATATATATATATATATATATGATAACCTCCTGTCGTTTAAGTCATATTAGGGACCAATAAATCAGACTACCCACACGGACGATTTCATTATCAAGGCTTTTCGGAAGAACTGATAACAAAAGAAATGCTGAACAGCATGACACGAAGTCTCCAAACAGACTTCCCCGTGTTTAAACCTAGTGTTTTCCTTTTACGAGACTGACTACCACTCAAGCCTAGAAAACCCAGTCTGCCGAGTCATTTAAACTGTAGCTCACGTTGAGAAAAAGATGTTCCATTTTATTAAAGGTATATAAATGAAAAAAAAAAAACACCCCCCAAAAAAAGATAAGAAAAGAAAAACATTTGTTTAATTGTAAACAGAAAGAAAGAAAAAAAAAGAACGAAACAAACAAACAAATGATATCGGATTTTCCCATCTGTTTTGTTATATGAAAATGAACACGTCCGTAATCGCCTTAATAGCAACTTCAATAGGCGTAAATTTTTCCCGCATTTCATAATCCGTACTTCCTATTTAACTTCTCTTTCTCACTCATCCCACATGTCATTTTGTTCATGTGTTTTTCATTCCTCTCACGTTTGCCTTCTTTCGGTCTATACTCTCTCTCTCTCTCTCTCTCTCTCTCTCTCTCTCTCTCTCTCTCTCTGATATTTTTTGTTACTTTTTTATGTTTATCTCTTTTCTTTCTTTTCCCTTCTTGATTCTTTCTCTGTCGCAATTCGCCATTATCCTTTTCTCGTTCTCACGAGACTTTCATTTTAATTTACTTCTCATTTCCCTCTATGCAATTTTCTTGTTCGTGTTACTCCATTTACTTCTCCTTAACATTCTTTTTCTCTCTCTTTCACTTTCTCTCTGTCCGTCTTTCTTTCTTTCTTTCTTATGTCTTTTATCTTTTTTTCTACCCCCTCCTCTTATTCTTGCTCTTCTTTTTTACCTAACGTCTCTAATTCATACGTATTTCCTTGCTATCTTGCTTTCTTTTCTTTCCCCCCTACCAGTCAGTTTCTTTTCACTTTCTACCTTTCTTCTTTTCCTTTCTTCTTTATTTTTACATCTTTCCTTTCATTCTCTCACTTTTTTTATCTCACCGCCCTTACTCCCTTCCTTCATACTGTTCTCTATTCTCATCTTCGAATCTTCACTTTCCGCCCATTTCTCTTTCCCTCTTTTCGTGTTGTCCTTATTTTCTATATCTAATTCCTTATTTCTTCTTTTTCCTCTCTTCCATCAGCCTTCAGTTTTTTCTTTCATTTTTTCTTAAAACCTTTTGTTCGTAGTTTAATAGTTAGGCCCACATTTTCCGAATTGCAATTGTTCCCTATTTCGACGCCATTCCTCGCTGTTCATCTGATCAAAGTAAAATAAGTTAACTGTTATCTTCCGCATCCACTTTCTTCATATAACTTCTGGCTGTGACAACTGATGCTTACAAAATCAGCTGATCACCAGCTGTGCTCACGATCAACGTGTGCGTGCGTCTTGACAGTATAAATGACTTCCTCGCCACCCCACCTACATGCAGTATCTCTGTAAAGGCCAAAGCAGTTATATCTATTTTATTTATTTTCTATTTTTTCTTCTAAATATCATGTAAATACTTGATCAGATTATAAATATCTCCGTTATAATTTCTTGTGGAGACATATTGAGAAATTTCACCCCAAAGAAGGCGACAATTCCACTAAGACGCAAAAGAATTACTGGGAGTGAAAGAGAATGAGAAAACTTTAGCGAAGAAAAGGGACAATAAAAACAATGTTCAAGAAAACAGAATATGACGATTGCTATTACATTTAAATTTTTGAAGATTATAGTCACAGGGAAGTTCGAAATTGGAAATGAGTTCCACGCGTGAAAATAAATTATTAGAATAGAACTTACGGTTACATCTAGCTGGTTCCCGCTCGCTGCTTTATGGCTATTTCAATCGAACGTGATCATATGAAATATATTCCTTTGTTCTAATAGTTCTCACCTTCACAGCCAAAACCCTCGATGCCACGAACATTGCAACGAACCACCTTCACTCTCTTCATATTCCATTGTTGAGATGTCAGTTCCACTAGCACAGCTTCTTACCACAAACCACTGCTTTGTGCTTCCCCGATCACTATAATCTTAACCTGTTCAAGTCTAGTATCAACCGTTATCTTTCCTACGCATCCCCATAAACTGAGCCTCTTCCTGTGTAAACCTCTACATCGAGTGGCTTCCGACCCTTGCATATGATGAACATCACTGTAAAAAAATTCAATAATAAAATGATTAGACATAGTAACCAATCTAGTAGTACGCTTAAATTTATGCAGTCGGGATTACCAAAGAGGAGAGCTCAAAAAAGATTTGCTTTCTAAAAAAAAGAACATCCTCTTGGTAAGATAGCAAATAGAATCAGACTTAAGATCGTAACACAAAGCAAGAGCAAGATCACTGAACTTGAAAAATATTAACCTTCACGTTAGTATTCCTATTAATGTTGAATATTTTACGTCTAAAATGATTTTGTTTTTAACTTTCTAAGATATTTCTATGTAATAAAGAAGAGAGGTAAATAAGTCATTATTAAACAGAAACTATTTCAGATATTCACACTCAAGTGGCACAGCTTTTTAGAGAAGCTGCTGAAAGGGTAGCTGCCAGAAACTTCAAGAATTTCTGGCAGCATCTCTTTCAAGAATTATTGGCACCCTCTTTTTCAACAGTTTCTCTAAAAAGCTGTGCAACGTGAATGTCAATATCTGAAATAGTTTCCATTTAATAATGATTTCTATTTACCTCTCTTCTTTATCTCACAAAATCGCCTATTCAGGTGAGATAATGTACCAGGTCATCGCATCCATAATGTCTAAAACTAGTTCGAGAAACATTATACAGACTTCTGACGAATTGTCTAATCGCGTACAAGATCTTGCACAGACAAATATCAAGGCGGTTTCCAGAAGTCTTCCGACCACTTTACAGGATGGCCACTGAAAGACTGAATGATATAAAACAAAAATAACTTTTATAAACACATGAGTATCTTGTGGTAGTAAAGTTTAGACCATTTGAATCTTGTATGGAAATATTTTTAATCCAATTTCAGAATCTTCTGAAGTGATGTTCTGCTGTTGCTTAGTTGAACAGTGTAATGATGGGTAGGAGTCAATGGATCCTCAAGGACACTCTGCTCTACAGCATCCACCGCTGCATAAGAGCACACAGGGCACTTAGCGAACTGATCCAGTTCTTTCAAACCAGGCAATTAGGTTTCGAATCATGATATCGCTAGAAGATACTCTAATATTAAAATGTTGCCAGTATTTTTTCTGAGTTTCAATAACTGATCTTTCATTAGAATAGAAAAAGTCAATGATTTTTACTCGTTGCTGAACATCATACGTAGCCATTTTAATTTCTAAGGGATGCTCTATAAACAGCATCATACGTAGCCATTTTAATCTCTAAGAGATGATCTATAAACTGCATCATACGTAGCCATTTTAATCTCTAAGGGATGCTCTATAAACTGCATCATACGTAGCCATTTTAATCTCTAAGGGATGATCTATAAACTGCATCATACGTAGCCATTTTAATCTCTAAGGGATGATCTATAAACTGCATCATACGTAGCCATTTTAATCTCTAAGGGATGCTCTATAAACTGCATCATACGTAGCCATTTTAATCTCTAAGGGATACTCTATAAACTGCATCATACGTAGCCATTTTAATCTCTAAGGGATGCTCTATAAACTGCATCATACGTAGCCATTTTAATCTCTAAGGGATACTCTATAAACTGCATCATACGTAGCCATTTTAATCTCTAAGGGATGGTCTGTAACCTGTAAAAAACAAAAAAGAAAATAAGAAATACTGAGAACAAACAAATTATGACTTTTTCAAACCCTTCGGTTTTTCAGTGATCACCCTATAGAATTGATGCCTGTAGACTTGCTAAACTTGACCAGGAGAAAGGGCGCCCCACACAATATTAGGCTAGTATGATTTGGGACACTTTAATGTATTTATTCATGTCAAATTTTATACAGATTTTATGAATTTCTTCATTTTCATCCATTTCTTCATTCTTTGATCAAAATGTCTCATTGTCCTGTCAAGTTTAGAAAGCAATCTAGATGTCTTACTGCGGATATTGCCCATATGTTTCTAACTGTAGATACGGCCATGTAGACACACACACACATACACAAATTTAATATATATATATATATATATATATATATATATATATATATATATATAGAGAGAGAGATAGATAGATAGATAGATAGATAGATAGATAGATAGATAGATATAAAAGAAGAAGTGGCCAAAAGCGCTTTGTACAAATTTTGCACTCCTTACTCCCACTAAACAGAAAAATTTAAAAACGTTGGAAAGACTACATAAACCATTAATTACATTTTTCTTGTCTGCCATATTTAACGAAATATGTTTGAAAGAAAAGTTGCTGCCACGATATATATATATATATATATATATATATATATATATATGTGTGTGTGTGTGTGTGTGTGTGTGTGTGTGTGTGTTCTGGGGTTACTGTTCATGTGGCCGAGTGGTTAGAACGTTAGCATTCTGATCATATTTTGTTTGAATTTGAATCCGATAAATCAAAACGCAGAAAGTCATGTCAGTTACGTTCAACGTAAACGTCAATCAGTCACATTCAATTGCATGAATTTTTACATGCCTTGAAGAATACTGGGTTGGGGACAAAATATAACGACAAAAAATCAAATACTTTAAACAATGTCCATTTTCTTTCATTTCCTTTACTTTTTTTACACCCCTGAAGTCTTATATATTTACTATCTAAATGACATCGTTCAATTATTCACTGTTAACCTGATATTTCCTACTCTGACCTGAAAAGTTGATGGATTCTTCCAGGTCGACTTTGCCCGTTACTCATGTGTGAATACTTACCAAGACATGTGGAAGGATTTGGTCATGTGCTCAGCTGAGCAGCGATGCTTGGATTAAAACCGGTCAAAGGACTGATGATAATGAGTCCGATTTATAGAGTTGTTACTTTATCACCAAGATTATCAAATCGGTATCCTGCAAAAATGTTGGCAGAAATTAACTATGCAGATGACCTAGCTATCCCAGCAGACACTATTACCAAAACCACAGTTCTTCTAGATCGTCTAGAAAATGCTTCAAATGATGTTGGACTCTATGTCAACGCCTCTAAATGTGAATTCATAGGCTTCACCTAGCAAGGCTTAATACAAACTGTATCAGGGGAATCAGTAAAATCTATCGAATCTTGTACATACCTAGGAAGCGCAACAAATTCTACTGAAAAGGATGTGAAAATTCGCATAGCTAAAGCCTGGTCCGCTTTGAATAAAATACATGTAATCTGGAAATCTGATCTGTCAGGCAACCTCAAGCGGAGATTCTTTCGAGCCACTGTAGAGGCAGGGCTAATGTATAGTGCCACTGTTTGGGCATTAACTAAAAATCTAGAGTTTAAATTTGATGGAACTTACCTTCTGCTACTGAGAGCTATACTTAAGATCACCTAAATTAACTAAATCCAACTAAATCACAGCTCTATGGGTCCATATCTGATATTTCTATAATCTAACACGAACGAAGAATGCACTTTGCAGAACACGGCTAACGAGCTAAACAAGAACTCGCAAGTGATATACTGTTCTGAACACCTAGCCATTGAGCAAGACGAGTTGGTCGCCCGGCAACCACCAACACTGACCACCTATGTCATGATACAGAATGTCTACTTATTGACGTTCCGACCATGATGCAGAATTTTGATGTTTGGCATGGCAGACTCATGAATATCCGAGCTAGCTCGACTGAATAAAAAATATCATAAGTTCAATATTTACAATCTATATCTATCACTCTTGATGAAAATAATCAGGCATGCCTACATGGAAGTTAGAAATGAGGAAAACATTGTAATTCGAAAACGTGATAAATTCAACATTGTAGTTATTTTAGACAAAACCAACTAAAACGCAAGGCCAAATTCTATTCTCGACAACAAAGCTAAATCAAATAAAAAAAAATAATCAAAATAAACTTCCTCAAAACAGATAAATGTATATATTTTTTGTTTGTGCATGTGATGTGTTTGTGGGTTTACTGATATATATATATATATATATATATATATATATATATATATATATAATAAACAATGAAGACTTTATGAATTACCTATTTTCAAACTTCATTTTCTATCCGTTCACTTCCATTTCTGAACACGTTATT